ACCACAGGGTACCAGGCAAGATGGAGCGCTGGACATCTCAGCTCGACTCACTGTATTCAAAAAAGGAGAGAGCTCCCGGCGGATAGCCTCCACTTTAGATTTTTAAAATGCTGCAAACTGGTCCGGTGAAATACTAGGGGGAGGCCCATCACTCAGGCCAGTTCTGGATAGGTCACGTACTATACGGAATAACTCTGCCTGCTGGTTGGAAGCTTCGCTTATCTGGTTAGCAAAGTATGCACAACTGGCAGCCTTCACCTTAGCCAGGTAAAGGTTAGTAGCGACCCTGACAGCAATCCAATTGTAATCCGTCGGGTTCTTTCTCCACTTGCGCTCTAGCCATCTCCTAAATCACTTCAACACCCGGAGGTCCTGGTTAAACCAGGGTGCAGGCCGGGCTGTGCGGTGGAGAGGGCATTTAGGTGTGATCGTGTTTATAGCCCTGGAAGCGGCAGTGAACCAGCCGTCAACCAGAGTCTCGACAGGAGCGCCAACCAGGTCAGCCGTAACACCTCTCATGGATTCCTGGAATCCAACAGGATCCAGTAGCCTCCGAGGGAGGACCATAGCAATAGGTCCCTGCTCCCTGCGAGGGGGGTGAAGCCACTTGAGGTTACATTTTATTAGGTGGTGATGTGACCATGACAAGGGGACTGACATGAGGTCCGTCACCACCAGATCACACTCGCTCCAACTGGAGGAAAAGACCAGGTCCAGTGTGTGACCACCCACGTGGGTGGGGCCGTTGACATGTTGGGACATGTTAAAGGAAGCCATGGTTTCCAAGAACTCAAGAGCTGACCCAGATGGCTCTTCCCCCGTGTGCACGTTGAAATCACCCAAGACCAAAAGCCTCGGGGATCCCAATAGTGCTGCGGAGACAAAGTCAGTCTTCTGGAGCGCGGTAACCCAGCAAAATCCCAATACCATCCCTGGCCCCAATCGACACGTGGAGTGCCTCTAGACCCAGCATTACCATCGAGGATCGCCTAGTCACCTCCAAGCTGGATTTATAAACAATGGCTACTCCTCCCCCCCGCCCCTCCAGTCTACCCTGGTGCTGGACAGCATAACCAGGTGGACAGACAAGAGCCAGGGGAGGACCCCCCTCCCCGCTGATCCCCATCTTGGTTATGCATGCTAGGTCTGCATTCTCCTCCAGGATAAGATCGTGAATCACCTGAGGCTTGTTGGCTATAGACCTGGCATTCAACAGTACCAGAATTAGAGTGGAGTGGAGGTTAGAGGTGCATATAAATAATAAATTTTGGTGGTTTTTTGGATGACTTCTGCAGGAATGTGGGGGCCAGCATGCTGATGGTGGGCTGCTGACACCTTTTTTATTTTTATTTTTTCTTCTGTTGTACTCATGGTCTTTGGCTCTGCCATGCTGTGGGACTGGTTTTGCTGCTTTCTTCTTTCCTATTTGGGGGCGGTGGGGCTTGGCTTGCTGCTTTTTGAACTGGTGGTTGTTGGTTAGTGGATGGGTGGGTGTGGTTTTCTTCTTCCCAGTCCTATGCATAGAGGAAGAGAGAGGGGCATTTTTCTTGCCTGAAAGAGCATATTTGTGTGATTTCTGTGCATTACTGGGTGGGAGTCTGGGCAGGAGCTTTCTCTGCCTTTGTCTGTGGGATTTTGCGTTATGATTTGGCCCAAAAGAAAGGCATAGCTGGGGTAGGCTAGGCATGGCCTACCTGTATGGTTGTGGTTGTTTAACATGGGACTGTAATTCTTCTAATTGCTTTTTCGCCTCACCTAGGAAGGTGGCCACTGCGTGGTCTGAGTGACTGTTTGCTGGGAATATTATAGTGGCTTGCTGAGAGGTGTGTAAAACAAGTCATGCTAATGGTGAGAGTTTTAGTGTAGGGTGCTGGGTACAACTTGTACACACTTTGTTACCACCTATCTCCCACAGTGTGGATCCATTGTTCTCTGCATATTTAGACCCATCCAATCTCTATGTTACTCACCCAAGAGTACCTCTTTCACATTTACCCTCGACAGAGATGAAACCTCCTGGTTTCCTTGCCTACCTCCTATGGATGCTGCCTCTGAGTGGGTGGCCACAGGAAAAAGCAGGGCTGGCATGCGCCGAACACCTGTCTGACTGAAAAATGAACCAGCAGAAACTGCTGAACGGATGGTTCATGCCCATCTAACCTTCAGTCCTCCCATCGGTGATATATTGCAGTATATTATTATGTCATGGTGACTTATGTGTCTAAGATGTGACAGCTTGTTTCTCAGTAATCAGCTCTTTTTTTTTGTTTTTTGTTTTCCTGTCCAATAAAGTATCTCTTCATTCTATCAGTCCATGGGATGTGAGGGATTCTCCTGTACAGCTGAGTTTCAAAAGCTTTTACAGTGGTGCCCCGCTTAACAGGCGCCCCATTTAACGATGAAATCGCATAGCGATGAAGATTTTGCAATCGCAAAAGCGATCACATTGTGATGTTTTAAATGGGGGGAAATCGCTTTGCGATGATCAGTACCCTATTTCGCTTACCGATCATCGCAAAGCGATTATTTTTTAACAGCTGATAGGCAGTTCCAAAATGGCCACCGGGTAAAAAAAAATGGCCGCCCGCTGTTTTCTGGGACGGATTCCTCGCTTACCGGGCAGTGAAAATGGCCGCCATATGGAGGATTTTCGCTTAAAGGTGAGTCTGAAGCCCATAGGAACGCATTGAAGGGGTTTCAATGCATTCCTATGGGCTTTTTAATATCACATAGCGACAAAATTGCTTTGCAGCGATTTTTGCTGCACCGATTGTCACTATGCAAGGCACCACTGTATTCTATTGAGCTTCTCCTTCTTAATAGTCCAAACCTCCATAGGGGAGAACTGACCACGGTTAATTAAACATCCCAGATACACCCCTACTTGATCTATATTTGAGTACACATAATATTTATATTGATGTTATCCCAATATTTCACCATTGTTTTGTGGGGGGTTTGTCCCATGTTATTCTTTTCTTCTGTGTGACCCATTTTAACAGTATTTGAAAGTGTTCTGGGCTTCGTGCTACCAGGACTCTGTCGTCTGTGTATCTTATATTGTATATTACTTTAATGACCTCAGATCTATTGACAACAGGATTTTGCATAACCTTTTCTGAATAAATATTAAACAAAATAGGCAACAACTTGACAAATTCCTCTAATTTCTACTTTAGTAGTTCATTCTCCACTTATTTCAACCTAACATTTTGTTCCCAGTGTAAGTTATTATACATACTGTATATTGTATAATAAACTGAAGGGACTGGTAAGGGAGAGGGGGCCATGCCTGTTACCAACCAGTCAAAATCCCTCCCCCCTCCTCATCCATTTCTGAGGCCAATCCAGATGTTCTTGCACCTCAAAGGTTACTTGTGCAGCCTGAGAAGAACTTGCCATTGGTGTGGGTGGCACCATGGGGGTGGGGGTGGGCACTGGCGGCGGCATAGTGTGCAGTGCACTGAAGGCTGGGGAGGGAGGCAGGTGGGGTGCTATGCCATGCAAGCAAAGTAACAGCCTGCCATGAGCACTGACAAAGATGATGATGAATGGCATGATATAAGAGTGCCACCCTACATATGTCCCATGATGACCATTATGATTTATCTTTCTCATCTGTACTGTTTCCTGATGCTGGATTGAGGATGAGGATGGCAATGTTGATAGTAATGAATGTGAACCTTAAAGTATAAGTTAGTGCCTGCATAGGTCTGAGGATGTCTGGTTTTATTTTCTCAAGTAAGTTTTGCAGCCCACTTTTGGAGCAGATGATTGTCTGCTGCCTTACTGTTTTATGGAGTTGGAGTGGTTTTTAAGGGTTCTGTGGGGCTTAATTTGGGCTAGAACTCGACAACTGAATGAGCAAAAACAAAGTGAAATAACCTGGAAAAGTTGTCTCCTTTCATGTAAAAAAAAAAGGACTTGCAAAAAACAAAACAAAACACCCCCCTGAAAACAAATGAGGCACCCCCTCCAAAAAGAACTCAGGATAAATGCCTTGTGCTGGGTAGAAAGGCTCTTGAGAAGGAGAGCAGGGACCTCCACCTCCCTCCTTCACAAGAACCAGCCAGCGTTTCAGCTGGGCAGCAGGCTCTTGCAGAGGAGGGAGGTGGCTCCCTCCTTGCAAGAGCCCGCCTCCCAGCTGATCGGTGGTTCCAAAATGGCCACCAGTTTCGTGCCCCGCTTACCAAGGGCGCGAAAATGGCAGCAGTATGGAGGAACTTCGCAGAACGGTGAGTACGGAAGCCATTGGAACGTATTAAACTAAGTTTAATGCGTTGCAATGGCTTTTTGCTTTCCGTTTAACGAAGTTTTCCCATAGCGAATGTTAATCCGGAACTGATCAACCTCGCTATGCGAGGCACCACTGTGTCACTCACTCACACACTCTCTCACAGACCCTCACTATATAGCACAGTTCTTCACAGGTACATTATAGAGGAGATCACATGACATAATCAATTTGCATTTTTATAGGAATATTCATCATGGCTTTTGCTGGGAGACTACAGGAAACCCCTTAGTCCAGTGTTGGCTTCTTGGGCCTTCAAACCCACAGTGCTTCACTTGTTATTTTCGATTAGAATGGACCTCACTTATGGGTCTATCAGAGTATGAAAGGACATGCTGATTTTTTTTTGTTAGTTTCAGTGTGATAACAATTCTGTTTTTTTAAAGCTGACATTGGATTAAATGTAGTAGAAGACTTTTATTTTTCACCAGCTTAGAACTGCCATAAGGTCCAGTAAACAAAGGTCTAATGTTTGTTGGCACCATTTGGCTGTAACCAGCCCCCCCTTCTGTAGTAGGACAGGGAATATGAAAAGAAGCATACGGTGTACACCATGGGTGGTAACTTGGCTTGCAGAAAGAGTGCCCCTATATTAGGAGACATTTCTTTCAGCAGACATATTTTTTTACAGGATAGAAGACAAGTCACTTGCTAGCATTCCTGGATGTTCCTTCAAATGAATAGCAACAGCCGTTTTTCTGCAGGGTTTATATTTATTTTCTTTTGGGAGGGGGTGGGTTGACAAATGAAAACACCCTGAAATGGCAAAATCGTATTCTTCTTTTGCTTATTACGCGTAGCTCTAATCACAGTGCAAATAGCAAGGCATCCTTCTGGTCCACAGTCAGTCAAAGGCCAGCTTGAAATGTCATCCAGGAATTAGATCAGAAAGCTGATTGGTCAAAAGGGAAGTCAGTGGAATATGAAATAAATGCAACTGCAATGTGCAGGAAACACAAGAAGTATATATATAAACCCCTATTCCAAAAGTGTATGTAGAGAGAAAACATTATTTAAATGCTACAGAGTCAGTCAGGAGAACCCCCAGATGAAAAGAAATAAAGCTGACCAGACAAGCTTTCACAGTGGCCAAAATCCTGTTGCAGTTTCACAGAGATGTAATTTTATTGGCAAGTCATCTCAGTGTGAGATAGACATTAACTGTTGTGTGCCTAGATGTGCAACTCAGCGCACAAAATAGTGTCTCTGGAGATCTCTTAACTCGAGGTAATTCACTGCTAAAAGTTACATCTAATTCCTGGTTGACATTTCAAGCTGAAGACATGGCTATGCAGGCAGGCCTTCCCTACAGCCATTACCTAACCCAGGGGTCTCAAACATTGCGGCCCGTCGGACGATAGTTTGTGGCCCCTGCCTTGCCTGACCCTGAAGCACCCACGAGAGCCCTGACCTAACCTATTTATTTTCTTATTTCCTCTTTTTCTTTTTCCATTTTGGACTCTGCCATTAATTCAATTTTTACCTTTTGTTTATTTTTATGCTTTATGTAAACCACCCAGAGTAGACACGTTCTAGATGGGCGG